ACACATACTATATAGGTTGAACCTGATGGACCTGTGTCTTTATTCAACCTCAGCTACTTCCCTGTTTCCCCGAAAGTAAGACCTACCCCGAAAATAAGACCTAGTTGTGCCCATTCCCAGGGCCAGTGGTGGCAAAAGCGGGAATTTGAAGAGCCGCGGGAGAGAATTAGCGGTGCCAACGAAGCCAGCGCTAGAGGAAGCGAGGCGGCAGCGCAGGGAGCAGAGTCACATAAGCCGATGCTTCCTCTATAGCGCTGGCTCCTAGCGGAGTGATACCAAATGCACTCCGCCTGTGAGGAATCGATAGTGAAAGTGCGCTTCGCTCATTCTGGCCAGGGATTGGTTACCAGATTGCTCTTGGAAAGGGACGGCACCCCTGATCGCCCTGATCACCCTATTCTTGACTTTGCCATTTTGGATTATTTAATTTGGATTTGCGTTAACTTTGGATTGTTATAAATTAAAAAAAATAAGACCTACCCCGAAAATAAGACCTAGTGTGTTTTTTTGAGCCAAAAAAAAAATATAAGACAGTGTCTTATTATCGGGGAAACACGGTATGTAGCTATGTAATTATTCAGTAAATTCTCCTCCAGCAACTTACATTCGCTAGGGTTATGGATACATTTCCACTTTTGATGAACAAGGTCAGCTGTTCTGATATGCTGACTAACTTCCTTGCAGCGTATTATAGCAACAAGAAAACTCACAATACAAAATTAGCTATGAAGTCATTTATACTCCTACAGAATACTCAATGAACCTGACCTCACAGAACAGAAATGGTGAAGCTGATGTTCTACAAGGAGTGGAGAGTCTTGATGAAAATTATAGTGAAATTTCACTTCAATTATCCTACCGTGTACAAATGAAATACAAAAAAATTTTTTAATTATCACATGAATGGATAACTGAAGGGAGACTTCATTCTTTTCTTTTTAATTCTAGTTTCTCAACTCATTAAATAAAATCGCCCTCATTGTCTTCACCCATAACAAATCTGTAATTTGTCTTGCATGGCTCACCTCTTGCCATGAAGTAAAGCACCAGGTACAGCTAGAAATACATATACGTTTATGTGAACGGTTTCACCTGTCAAAGGATCTACAATTCTGTATAGTCAATTGTGTGATATACATATATTTTCCGAACTGTACAGCCAAAACAGGTAACTAACATAGTTTCTGGATAAGCAATTAATCTTCCTGGTCCAGGATTTCAGCTTCTAAAATCAACTCTGTGCCTCCAGCATTCTCAATAGACAGTAAATCAGCATCATCGACTGTGTTCAGCAGGCATTCTGATCTAAAAACCAGTAAAGCTAAACTAGGAAGTAGATGAGCTATGTGTATCAGAAGAATGGCAAACCAAAATGACTGATCCTTGGCCAGCCAGGCAAGGCCGCTTTCATACGGACTGATCAAGAGGGGATCAGTGCACGGATCTCCTCCTGATCAGAGCAGTAAGGATCAGATGTTACACACTGTGACATCCATGTCTGTCCGGTTTTTTTCTCTATCTTGCGATGGAGAAAAGAACTAAAACTGCCGGATCCCATGTTGGTCTATGGGGAGTATGCTGTATATGGACATATGTCCGTTTACACAAGATCCGTCACGATCAGGGACAGTAAAACGGAACTCTGTTCTGTTTGTTTTACCGGACCTGGCCGTAGTCGGGGGTAATCAGGTGTAAACGGACTACAGTCGGCAACCGGCTGTCCATAGACTAGCATGTGGCATCCAATCGGGTCTGCCTAAAAAACTAAGAGACAGACCTTATCGGACCTCCCGTGTGAAAAGGGCCTAAGCCATTGCACAAATATCTTTTTATTTCAAATAAAAAAAATTGTATTTAGCAGTTTGCCCTAAGTTTCACTTGCTTTACCTACATGCACCCACTGCCTGCTAGACAAAAGGTACCAAACAAACTTGAAAACTTAGAACTTGGAATAATTATTTATAGCCCACTGGTCACATGGTTGACTGTAGAAGAGTGTCCACCAATTGTACTGTTATGGACAATGTTCTGCTCTCCAGGCAGACAGAGGCAATACAAACTGCAGATCACCCAAATATGTACTGAACTGTTTTACCCTGTTCACTCTCTACCAGACATGTGATGAGTGCTTGGGTGTCCATCTGAACTAGGCCCAAGCTGTAAGTCAAAGTGTGACGTCCTTTTCTTATGGGTGTTCAGTTTGGATCAGCCTGTTGGTTTTTCACATGGATCCAGGCTGATGCCCAATGTATGTCTACGGGCAAGTGGATGTAAAAAGACATGCATCCGTTTACGTCAGCTTACAGTTGAGTCCAGCTAAGTTTGGGAAAGAAAACAGAAAGGGTTTGTTTCCTTTTAACATTTTTGCAGGCCTAGACAGAACTGAAGACCTTTACTTGGGGAATATGGAGGGGAATGCATAGAATGTTCTTTGCATCCATTTTGTGCAGCAATCATGGCCAGGGATATCTCTCATGAGACACTTATTAATTTGGTCCATAGCAGACCAGGCTTGTGGGCAGGCTGTGATAGAAGGTGCTCTAGGCTGTGACCCCAAACTGGGTAACCCTCACAGGTAAGTAGCAGCAGAAGCTTTCTTTCATCAACAAACGAAAAAAAACGGACATATGAAAAATAGATGTAAGCAGATGGAAAATTGGATGTAAACAGAATTGAATTGAAGACGAATGTGCAAACTGTTGTAAACTGATTCAGTATTCATCCGTTTTTATTATGCAACTGAACTGATGACGCCCATGTAAAATGGGCCTGAGGTCCCTTTCACGTGGTGTCCTTATCAGGTCTGCCTGTCAGTTTTTCAGGCAGACCTCATCGGACTTGAAGCGGACGGACTGGAGGTAATTAGATGCAAACGAATACATGCCCACTTACATCCGACTTAACACAGGTTCGGAAAGTTCAGTTTCTTCCCTTATCTCGCGATGGAGGCAAAAACTGAACAGACATGGATGTCACAAGAGTGACATCCGTTCTGCACTGCTCCAATCAGCAGAAGATTTGCGCACGGATACCCTGCCAATTGGGACAGATGGCCAGTGTGAATGAGAACAGAACAGACAAACCTATACCAGTGCTTCCCATTATGCCAGGGGTGGACAACTTAATATGGAGTTCAGGATCCAGTCTGTCCAATTAAGGAACCAGCAGGATTTTATTAGACAAATCATTTAACATGTAATATGCAGAAAATGTAAATACATAGAAAGAGCAGTCCTAAGGGCCACTATAGCTAGATTCTCCCATGCATGCTTCCTTTACAAAGAAGGAAACTGAAAAAGAGACCGGACTGATTTTCATGGCCTATAAGAATGGTCTTGAGATACTTATGAACAAAACTCACTGTCTCCATCGTACATTCACAGTGAAAAACAATATACTGATATCATGTCATCACTATGAATTCTTCACAAATCACATACATGCATGGTTCCCAACAATTAAAAACCTGAAGTGTTGTGGTTATGGCAAAATGGCAAAATGCAATATAATTTGCATTACCCGCTCCTGTTTACAAATATGGATCTGCTTTCCAACTGTTGCATTTACTGTATGAAGGTGGCTACCCTTGCCCTCCATGGTCTTCCTGCAGGACTAGTGTAGCCACCCCCTTAGGCCCCGTTCTCATGTGGGACTACAACAGGTTACAGCTTGATTCATAAATGTCTCTCTCATCTGCTCTAAAATTGTATTGTGACAGAATAAAACCCGACCCTGACCACTTCTTAATTATGCTCCTGCTTAGAGGACAAATCTGTCACATCTCTAGTAATAAATCTGCCTTAAAACTCTGCAAACTACAGATGCACAGGACAGTAAACTTGTTGCAGAGACTTTGCTGAAGGCGATACAGTCTGATTTGTGAATTATTAGGTCACTAATTTGCTTGATAAATATCCCCCAATGTATATTTTTCTCCTCACAAAGAAATACAGGGAAGACTTTGCTTACTAATGAGTAGCAAGGCTTTCCCTGGAGTTGCCTCATTGTAGGGATGGCCCTGGTGATTAGTGATTAAGGGTGGGCTCGGGCGTGTTCGCAGCTCCACGTGCCGAGCCCGCCAGGAAGCTGACAGCCCCAATCACAGGCACTGAGACATTTCCCAATCTCTTCAGCTGCGGAACGGGAAAATGCCTCAGTGCCTGTGACTGGCGCTGCCAGCTTCCTGGCAGGCTCAGCACATGGAGCTGCGAACACGCCAGAGCCCATCCTTATTAGTGATGAGCTTGAGTTCCCCTAAGTTCACCCAAGCCCATTCAAAACTGTGACCAACACACAGGTTTGAGTGGGCTTGTGTGAACTGGATTGGCACCAAGCCCAAGCTCGTCTGTGACTATTAAAAAGTGATCATGTGATCAGCAGCCAGTCCTAGCGCCTCCTGATCACTGCTCTGAACCCAAGTGATGTCAGTGACAGTTCAGTCTCAGTGCTGAGGAGCATGCGATCAAGTGCACAAAAACACACCACAGGAGGAAAGTCCACCTCTGCGGCACACATATATATATATATATACATTGCCACAGCAGGAAGGGGTTAATAATCAAAGACTGTGAAATCTCATGGTAAAGCTTATATGAGATGTTAGTGGTAGGGATCAGATCAGCACTGTGTGGAACCACTGTGTCATTCTCTAGGTGTAAGCGTAGAACAAGTCCCTATAAGAAGCTGTATAGCAGCATGTCTGCTAGACACGACACACCCCTCTCTGAGATCACCATGCTGGGTGTATTACACTGATCACTCATCAGGAAAGTCACTCTATAAATTCCTATCTACCTGCAATGTCATGGCTGCTTCTGTCTTATCCCCAGATTACACATTCAGAGACATGACACTATAAGGTGCAGCCTATGTATAACGAGCCAAGCCCAGTACATCGTATGCAATGTACGCAGAGATATGCCCCATCATGTATATACACCATCAGACAGACTGTATCAATACTACATAGAGATAATAAAAGCCATGCAATTGTACAGTACCTTGTTCATTCCATTGCCCATGGCTGTGGCTGGGCTGCACTTACTAGCACAACAGGAAGCAAAGCTGGCTCAGCTCTAATGTTCCTAAATGTGTTTCCTGCTAGAACATGTGTATAGAGGTGTATGTGTGTGTGTGTGTCTGTTGATCCTGGGTCTGGGGGAGGCTTGTGTGTCTCTGGGAATGGGGCTGTACTCTGGACTTGTCAGCGATCACTCAGACACAGCCAGAGCTGCTCCCCATTGACGCTCGGTCCGCCTTGCTCTGCGCTGTCTCCTCCTATGCTGACTCCTTGTTTACAAGCGACGTCCTGTCACATGAGATCAGAGCTGCCCTCTAGTGGCCGCACGCCGCACTGCAGGCTGCAGCTCCAAAACTAAACTCAATGAGGGGAATTGATCAAACCTGGAACAGACAAAATCTAGAGCAGCTGTGCATGGCAACCGATCAGCTTCTCTCTTTAACTTGTTCAGCTAAAGGTGCCCATACACCTTACGATTATCATACGATTTTCGTATGCAATCGACTTTTCGTCCGATAATCGTATTTGTGCATTGCAGTGTCCGACCGACAATACTGTACAATCGTACGACTTTTGACGGTCAAGCATGTTTGAAAACTATGCTAGATCGTACGATTGTCGTAAGGTTGTTGGCGTTTCCGTTGTACGATGTACACTGCGCTTGCGATAACGAAAATACTGCAAATCAATTACCGCATTTCGTCCAGGTGCTTTTCGTTAATTACGGCTAAATGATTCTTGCGATCATCGGGGCAGGATGGGGCTGCCGTACGAAAATCGTACGACTATTCGATCATCGGACGAAAAGTTTCGTCCAATAATCGTAAGGTGTATGGGCACCTTTAGCTTTAAAAATGAAAGATAGAAACTTATTGATTGCCATGGGCAAGTGCTCCAGATTCTGTCCACACCAGTTTTGATCAATTCCCCTCAATAAGCGTTTTTCAGGTTGCTTTCTTGCGCCTGAATACACTCAACATGCAGATTCCCATTCTTTCTAATTGCCCCTTTTCCCACTTGTTCATACAGGGCGAACTTGCATTCCTGCGGGAAAAACCTTAAAGTGACATTAAAGGATATTTTTTTCCCCCCTCTCCCCAATGTTAATGTCAGCACTTAACTTAAATGATGTATCTTAATCCGATCTTCCTCTACTTTCCTGATGTTTTCACCTGTCCCTCCAGCGCTGTGGCCTCTCCGATCCTGCGCTGACTCCTCTTTGCTTGCAGGCACTTCCGATCCAGCGGTGTCTGCCTGCGGGTGCACGCGTCCATAGACTTACCTTGCGTCTCTGCTCCTCTCCCAACCGAGAATCCGAACTGCGCATGCGCCCGCCCCAAGATGCTTTGCGGCCGCCGGAGCAGTTTCGTTTTCTCGGGCAGGAGCGCGCAGCGAAAACAAGGTAAGTTTAAGCCGCTGTTAAAGCGGGTTTTTTTAAATTAAACATTTTGCCTATATCTACTGCTTGCTAGCAGTAGATATAGGCAAAAAAAAAACAGAGGCTTTAGAACCCCTTTAAGGCAGGAATCCCAGTTGTCTCTGTTGGGAAGCAGCCACTGTACCCATTGAAGTTAATGACAGGGTGACAGAGGCCACATCTGTCAGCGGCAGTCCGCATGTAATCGTACATGAAATGATTACATGCGGTTTGGATGATTGACACTGGGTGCATTTACCCTGCATCTAGCGACAATCATGCATGTAATCGTATTATGTATGATTACATGCAAACTGCCGCCAAAAGATGCAGCCACTGTCACCCTGTCATTAACTTCAATGGGTACAGCAGCTGCATCTAAACGGGGGCACCTGGGATTCCTGCCTCAAGAACCCATAGGTTCTTGCCACAGGAATGTCAGCATAGGAAGACTAAGGCCTCTGTGTCTCCCTCCGCTCTGCGCCATACGCTCTATGCCCTGAACCGACATTTTTTTTTTTAGACATGCAACAGGAGAGGGTCAAAGACTGTACACATGCTATTGGAGTTGTTAGAGATTAGAGACATTATTTAGGAGGCAGTGAAAATTTCGAGATCACAAAAAGGAGGATAGCGTGAAAGAAATAACCCAAACCTTTTAACTAGTAGAAGTCAGATTAAAGACTTATACAGTCCTTCTGCATAGATAAAATCCAGAACTGCTCAGCGCTTAACATTTCTAAGTTCAGGCAGTTAGAATGCCTGTGACAGTGGCCAGGCAGGCCGCAAATTTGGACTCTGTGCCCCTGATCTATATAGGCTGCAGGTACAGAAGCCATCACTGGTCCTCATGAATAGGACCTATCTCTAGCCTGATACTTAATGTATGGCTGGTGACTCTCAAAAAGGTCTAGAGAAGCAGAGAAGCAGAGAAACAGCTTATGCAGCAGAGGTGCCCAGTTAAGGTGTAATCCCCTAAAGGGGAGAAAGGAAGTCTCCAAGTTCACAAGATAAACCTTTGTACTGAGTGACTTAAGACACCGACATAAAACGACGTTAGCTGGCTAACAGCCACTTTCTAAAATGAGTTTTATTACAATCACGGAATAAAATGAGAAATATATATATATAGATACAGTATATATATATATATATACACTGTATATACACACACACACAAGCTTGACTGATCAAAATGTATATATAAGTCCTAATAACAAGATTTAATAAAATGTTAATGTACGTATCCAACATACTATGGGATATAGTAGTGATAATTGATATCGCTATTATAGTATTGTTGTGTGGTTGATATAAAAAAAAGTGAACATACATTTATGTATTTATGTATTCTGCATCAGGTGAAGTAGATTGCAATAAAACAGGTGAAGCTGTGTATGTAAAGTTATAATTCTACTGTGAAGTAAAAGTGCATTCTGTTGGACAAATATTTTTATTGAAAAGGTTTAGTTGTAAATGACATCCAAAGAAAGGACATATAGGTTCATATGTTAAAACATCAGAACAGTTCTAAAGCAAGAGAAAGACCCATGGTAGGTCGTCTACAGGGGAGCAAGCAGAACATTTAAAAAAAGAGACATAGGCATCAAATCTGAATACAATCACATTATCTCAAGACCTGAAGAAGTGTCACCAGCGTCCCGCTGCTGCCGCGGGACACCAGCGAGCCCATACGGGAAAAGAGGAAAGGGCTCCAGACTACATACTGTGCAGGCAATCCATGACATGGGTTTCAAGCTTTAGAGAAAACCACAAGAACCTATGAAAGAGTTAGTAAAAGTGCATTCTGATAACATTCAGAGATAACAAAAAAGACTAATTAGATAAGGCTAAGTAGGTAGACTATACAGGTACAGTGGTACCTCGGTTCACGAAGTTAATTCGTTCCACGATTCTGGTCGCGAACCAAATTGGTCGCGAACTGAATCAAATTTCCCCATAAGGTTCAATGTAAAAAAGGTTAATCCGTTCTGACCCCTACTTCAATTCAATGGTTATTTTCTTCAAAACCTTCTTGTGTCCATTCTTGCTCTGCACTTTCTTGTTACCTTCATTATTGTCTGAACTTTCTTTTTACCACCATTCTTGCTCTGCACTTTCTGGTTACCTTCGCTACCGCTCTGCAGGTTTTTGCCACCTTCATTACCGCTATGCACATTCTGGTTACCTTCATTACTGATATGCACGTTCTTGTCACCTTCATTACTGCTCTGCGCATTCTGGTTACCTTCATTACCACTCTGCATGTTCTTGTCACCTTCATTACTGCTCTGCGCATTCTGGTTACCTTCATTACTGCTCTGCACGTTCTTGTCACCTTCATTACTGCTCTGCATGCTCTTGTCACCTTCATTACCACTCTGCAAATTCTGGTTACCTTCATTACCTTTCTGCACGTTCTTGTCACCTTCATTACCACTCTGCACGTTCTTGTCACCTTCATTACCGCTCTGCACATTCTTGTCACCTTCATTACTGTTCTGCACTTTCTTTTTACCACCATGCTTGCTCTGCACTTTCTTTGGAGCCATGCTGGATTGAATAATACTGTACAGTACTGTATGTGCTAAAAAGCACACACAAAAGCTCCACAGCAAGTGTGCAAGGTCTGTCTGCGATCCCGATCTCGACTAGAGGAAGCCACAATCACGTGTCAGAGTGGGGAAGATGGCCACAGTCATGTTCGTCACCCAATGTGGAGTTCGCAAACGGAAGCAAAACTTTGCCAAACTTCCTGTTCGTGAACAATTCGGTTCACGAACAGGAAGTTTGGCAAAATTTTGCTTCCATTCGCAGAAAAGCGCTTGTGAACCGAGGTATCACTGTAATAGGGAGTATGAGAAAGGCTGGAGTGAAAGAGCCTTTTGATGGGAGGTGTAGCCTGGAGGTAGTGAGAAGTAAGTGGAGCGGCCCCTTCCACTCTTCTGGACAGTTTCGGGTGCCTGTGCTCCAGCCTCAATATGCAGGAGAACCGTTAGTGTAATATGGTGTATGTAGCTACGTATCAAAGTTGATGTAACAGATGTCCAGTGATAAGATGATACAACTTCCCACCACACACTAGTGTAATATGTGTATATAAATATATAGTGTTTACTTTTTTCATTACTCATTTACCATACTAGATTTTTGATACATTGTACTTCACCCAGCAAGTCTGATATATAGCTACATATTCCACACACTTTATGTTCTACCAACTGCACCTGAACATTGGAGCTGGAGTGCAGGTACCCACGGGGCCAGAGGTGTGCGGTGCATGCTGAGAATTCAGATTTCTGCCAACAATCTGCACCTCTTGTCAAGCTCTTTCACTCCAGCCTTCCTAATAATCCCTGTTACATTCACAAGATTTTTGATCACTAGATTTTATATCAAGTCACTGTGATATACTAGGTATAATAGTACTACTATATTACCAGGTGTTTTGGATATCAAAATTATTCATCAAAGTAGAAATATGGGCTCTTATTAAAAATAAATATAAGTACTGCAGCATTTAGAGGAGAACTATGAGGTGAGTGCTTTTCACTCACCTCATAGTTCTAGCCGACCTGTGACAATGAAACTGTCACAGGTCGGCTCAGTAGATCGGGAGGTGAGCGAACATATACCGGTGTTCGCTCACCTCTCGATCCCCGTGACAGGGGAGGGGCTGGATTCCCCTCTCCCCGCTGTAGCTCGCGGTATACTGAGCTTAGGGTAACGGAAGGACGCTAGTTTGTGTCCTCCCGTTACCCTAAGGAGAACTATGGGGAAAAGCCCTGACCCCA